CAACAGTTAGTAGATAGACACACTAGGTATCGTCAAGGAAATCAATCTTCATATTTGGATCTAGTATTAACAAATGAGGACTCACTTATAGCCAGTATCGATCACCAGGTCCCTATTGGTAAAAGTGATCATACCTGCTTATTGGCTACTATAAACTTGCAAACGCAGAACCAACAAACGCCACATAAAACCAGACTAAATTTTAACAATGCCGATTGCGACAAAATAAACACTAAATTCTTATCAATGTTACCCGAAAATATGGCAGACAAAAGGTGTGTTAAATCACAATTTAACTCCCTTCATGGGGCACTGATGGAAGCTATAAATTTGTACGTACCACAGTTGCATATCCGTCTAAATAACACAAACAAGCCCTGGGTTAGAAACAAAACTAAAAAACTCATCAAGAACAAAATAGCCTTATGAAACAGATATGTGCTGACTGGACTAGAACAACATTATAGAGACTACAGAAGCACGAACAACCAATTACTAAATGAAAATAGAAAAGCCCGAACAACCTGCGAACAAGAAATACTGCATGCAGGACAAAAAAAGTTTTACTCCTATATAAGACAACAAGTAACATCAAAAGTAAGCATTCCTACTATTTTGCTAAACAAGCAAGGACAAACTGTGACCCAACCTCACGAAATTGCCAGGGTATTTGCGGACCAATTCGCGAGTGTTTTCCAAACAGAACCACATGACCAACTGCCTACATTAGACCCGACACTTCGAGTAGAGGATTCCATTGAAGAAATTCTGTTCACGCCAGACCAAGTCAACAGAGTCATTTCAGAAATGAAAACAGATTGATCTCCGGGACCAGATGATATACCAGTAGCTATATTTAAGAAATGCAACTATCTCACTACGAGGGTGGATTGAAAAGTACTCGGCCTAACCAAGAAAATAAACAAATACTAAATCTGTTATATTTTTATTTTTCTACATAATCACCATCAAGTTCAATACACTTTTGCCACCTCACCTTCCAAGCATTTAGACCGTTGAAAAAAAATGATTCTTCCTTAGAGTCAAAATATGCGTCTACAGCTGCTTTGACCTCGTCGTTTGTCGAAAATCTTTGACCTCCCAAGTGCTTTTTTAGGTTAGGGAACAGAAAGAAGTCTGATGGTGCCAGATCAGGTGAATACGGCGGATGCGGTAACAGTTCAAAGCCACAGTTGTGAATTTCAGCCATTGACTGTACTGACGTGTGAACACGGGCGTTATCTTGATGAAACAGGACTTTTCTTCTGAGTATTCCTCGACGTTTTTCTTTTATTTCCTCTCGTAAACGACGTAGTAAGATGCAGTAGTAATCAGAGTTTATATTCTGACCCCTTTCAAGATAATCAATCATAATCACACCTTTCGAGTCCCAGAATACTGAAGCCATCACCTTATTTGCCGACAAAATCGACTTAACCTTTTTAGGGGGTGGTGAACCAGGTCTTCTCCACTGTTTTGATTGTTGTTTTGTTTCCGGTGTACAGTAATGAACCCATGTTTCGTCCATAGTAACAAAACAATTCAAAAAATCATCTGCATCGGCTTCAAATAACTCCAAACAGTCGCGTGAAATAGTCAATCGCGTCCTTTTTTGTTCAACTGAAAGCAGTCGCGGAACCCACCTCGCAGACACCTTGTGGAAACCCAACTCGTTGACAATGATGTTTTGAGTTCGTTCATAAGAGATGCCTATAATCTCGGCTATCTCTCTAATTTTTAATCTGCAGTCTCCCATTATTAAATCAAGTACTTTTTTAATATTTTCGTCAGTAGTTGACGTCGAAGGCCTTCCAGAGCGGGGTTCATCTTTCACACTCTCTCTACCACGCTTAAATTCTGCTATCCATTTTTTGACGGATGAATATGACAGAGCACAATCGCCTAATGTACTGACTGGTGAGCATCTGGATGGTTTTTGATGATAGCCCCTTCTTATGGAGGTACTTAATGACGGCACGCTGCTCGATTTGCTCCATTCGCGGAAATTATGTCCGATTACTTTGTTAATAAATTTATAAAATCACAACTAATTATCGCACACGTTTCGAACTTCACACAATGAACTAGTCTGAACTGAACTAAATAATGTGGGTAGATTTGATTTTTAGAATTGAATGGATCTGTGTTAGGCCGAGTACTTTTCAATCCACCCTCGTATTTAACGACAATAATGCAAACATCGCACGAGACAAGCACCTTACCGGACTTATGGAAAACAGTGTTGGTGACATCAATATTTAAAAAAGGTAGCAAACTGGAACCAACCAATTACAGACCCATCAGTTTGACCAGTGTGGTCTGCAAGGTTATGGAGAAAATTACAGTCAAGCATATTAGAAACTTCCTCTCCAACCACAAAGTTATTCCTAAACAGCAACATGGTTTTTGTCCACATCGTTCCACGATTTCTTATTATATAATTTATTATTATGCCTATCATCATGGACCAAACATTTTAATAAAAGAGAGCCTATTGATGTAATTTATCTTGACTACGAAAAGGTCTTCGATAAAGTCCCTACGAGAAGACTCCTCCAGAAACTGGAATGCGTAGGAATACGTGGAAAACTACTGACTTGGATTGAGTCTTTTTTGCGTGGGAAAATCCTACAAGTAAGAATCGGTGAAACGAAGTCTGATCACATAGATATACATAGTGGAGTGCCACAGGGTTCTGTTCTAGGCCCTGTATTGTACATTATTTATACTTTTGACCTTCCCCTTTGCCTAGTGTAATGTCAGCATATTTGCAGATGATACTAAAATATTTGCAAATCCATTAATAGACTACGACCGCCTTCAGGATGATCTAAATAAAATAGCTATATGGTCCAAGGAATGGCTTATAAATCTCAATGCTTCAAAATGTACAGTACAGTACATAGGAAACCGTAACCCTCGTCTTACCTATAAACTGAGCGACGCGTCACTTACAGATGTTAAAATACAAACAGATTTAGGAGTCAAAATTGCAGAAGACTTAAAATGGGAAGAGCATATATCAACAATTGTTAAGAAAGCTAAGGGAATAACCTACCTCGTGAGAAAAGCTTTCGCTGTCCTAACACCGGAAATGATGCTTAAGATCCACAAAACATTTATCAGGCCAATATTAGAATACGCATTTCAAGTCTGGAATCCATACTTTATCAAGGACATTGAAGCTTTGGAAAAAGTACAGCGTAGCTTCACTAAAGTACCACGGCTATTGAAAGCGCAGTCTTATGAAGAACACTTGAAAGTTTTAAAACTTACAACATTAAAAAGCCACAGGGACCGAGGAGATCTAATCGAGACCTTTAAGATCTTAAATGGGCATTACGACATTGAGGAATTTGAGAAATTGTTTATTCATAATGAAAACACTCACCTCGGGGGCCACCATCTTAAGCTATGTACCAGCTTTTCAAACAGCAACCCCCACAAGCACTTCATTTGTAACCGTGTAGTCACCGAGTGGAATAAGCTTCCAGAGAACGTAGTCTCAGCTCAAAATGTAAACCAATTCAAAAATAGATTAGATAATCACTTTCTGAACTGTAAAAAGAATAACTAGTGGACAAAAACAGAATACAGGCATTATCAGTTGTCTCAACTGCCTGCCTGTTAACATAATAATAATTTTTGATTGTAGACATGTCAATCCCATTATAAAAAAATCTATACAATAACCATTTATCTGCGCATACACAGTACAATATCCAATTTGGGCAATATCCAAATCATATATATTTATTACATTCAAATTGATTTCTTATATTTACGCGAATACTGCACATTGAATAAAACTATGTTTATGGATTTTATCGCATTTCATTTACTAATTTTAATTCCCGACGTTTCTTGTGCTTTACAGCAACCCATGGTCACGGGGGGGGGGGGGATGTTTGACGATTGCGAATATGGTCTCTCGTACATAGAACAAACATCTCAGTCCCCCTATGACTATGAGTAGCTGTAAAGCACCCGAAACGTCCGGAATTAAAATAGGAAATTAAACGCGATAAAATCCGTAAACATCGTTTTATTCGACATTTCAGTTGTTACCTTGAGCTTGCTAAATTCCTTTATCATCATCATCATTACAGCCCTTCACAAGTCCACTGCTGAACTTAGGCCTCCCCCAAGGAATGCTACCAAGCACAGTCCTGAATCACCTACACCATCGACTTCCTGCAAGTCTTACCAGGTCGTCACTCCATCTAGTGGGGGGTATTCTATATTCCTTAGATCACTCAAAAGAGTAAAAAAGAAAACTTTTAATGTAGAACAATTTCCACATAAGCTTCTAATATTCTGAAGTTGGGGATTTTTCATCAACACAGTGTCTTAGAAGTGGTGATTTGTAGGTGGAAATAAACCCCAGGTTGCTAGCTAAACAGTTATTAAATTAGATATGTCCATATTGCGGACGAGCAGCTCTGAGTTATTTAATTTTGCAATTTGTTAAATAATGTAACTTAAGACGGCTACACCCTAATTAAACAAAAAAAAAAGTCATCTTTCTGCATCTTCTATACAAATACTAATATTTGTGTATACGAAAATCTCATTTTTTTTTATTGGAGAAAATAACTAGAGACCTGATAAGTGGTAACATTGAAAATTTGTACAACATCATCAATGTAGTCGAAGTGAATTAAATACGTATTATGAAGGATAAATCAAAAATTACTGGGCAGATCTTGATCAAATTTATACGGGACCATATGAAAAGCACCAGCTTTCAAATAAAAAAAATAATTATCAAAATTGGTTCATCTAGAAAAAAATACAGTCAAGTTGTCTGTATTTTTTTTTAGGTCTCCTTTTTCTGAAGTTGGTTTAAAAATGAATTAACACTGTTCACACTACATAGATTATCTGCACTAAGTTTCCTCAAAAATAGACAATTGGTTTCAGAGATAGCAATAAAAATTGCACCAGAGTCAAGAGGGTTATAGTACGCTCCATACCAATAAGGAATTGTTATTACTTACCTTAATTTTAACTTCAGGCTCCTTTTTTGTTTTGCCCTTTTGTACTTTAGATTTCTGCTTCGAAAGAGGCTCATTAGAGTTTTCATTAACATATACAGGCTCTGTTACGCCAAGGATACAGTCTCCAGCTTCAGACTGAAAGTAAAACACGTTAAAAATCAATAATATATTATATTCCATAGATATTTATCACCATTATTGCGTTTTGATTGTAAGAGATTTTAAATCCCATGTCATACCATGGGGAATGCAAGAACAGGAAATGGATAGCATCTTCCTGATATTGATTTTGAGTAGTCAAAATAATAATATTGAACTTTTAAAGAAAGTAAAAGCTGATTTCAAAGAAATATAAAGAACTAGTGATCTGCCATGGTTGCTTTCTGGATCTCAAACTCAACGCCACCTACCGAGCCCAATTGTGAATCTAAACCATTTTCTAATCAACTTAATCACATTATTACGGTCCAGCCGTTTAGGAGTTCAGCCACATACAGTCATTGAATTATTTATTAGAAATTCATTTATGGGGCAACTTATACACTTTTGCAACAAAATCCCAGAAAATGTACAAACTTTCTCAATAAACAAGTTTAAATGTTTTATTACAGAAAAATTGTACAAATAGGGTTATTTTAATATCAAGAATACATAAGTGAAAAAACCTCTGGGAATGAGGTGATCGCCACCATGCTGGTTCTATTAAAACTCATTTAAACTTGTACAAACAAAATTATTGTAGTTATTTTCCGAACCAGTGGTTAATAAAAAAATGACTTGCAATAAGTATTATGTCTAATAACCTTTCTCTTGAATCATTCTGTCTATTAATAAAAACAATATCAAAATCCTTTGTATAGTTTCAAAGATAGAACATGAACTGACGGCAGAAAGTGACTTTGCTTTATACTATATAGATAGAGATAAAATAATTTTCACATAATAGCTTCAGAAATTGGTGCTAAGATAAAATAAAGCCCCAAACTCAGAAGCTGTGAAAATTATTTTATTGTTTTAAGTTCTTTCAAATCAGCTTTTAGTTTCACTAAAAGTTAAATTTTTTGACCCTTGGGATTAAGTATTGTAAAGTCAAGGTAAAACTTCACCCCTATTTTGCCACCTTTAAGTTAACATTTGATTTTTCCACATTTAGATTATTTACATAAAAACCTAGGTAAATTGGCCGACAGTTCTCCTTGTTTAATGTAATACCATATATTTCTCAATCTTGACATTGGCAGAGAATCATTGGTTAAGCTATGGACCCATTTTTCTTTTCAATAAAGAAGAAGTAGGTAAATTGAGAATTTCTCTATTTTTGATAATCTACACACTTGCCAAGCGTGGTAACTATGACAAATATAAAATATACCCTTAGTGGCAATATATGAGGTAAGGCCTATGTTCGGCTGTGGACTTTTGCTAGCCCATAATGTGCAAGCTATTTGTGGCACTATACATTTTATCACACCATCTCATGAGATGTCTTCAAAACAAGTTCAAAAAACAACTGTCCCACAATAAACTGTTGTGGTCCCAGGTTCGAATCCAGAGTTGAGACAGGTGATAATGAATTTTCTCTGGGTAGGTATTACCCTCTCAATTATTTCTGCCACACGCATCAGCGCCACACCCTTTACAGCCTATTAAAGTCCACTGCTGAACATAGGGGATGTTTACCATTGTTGCCACATTTGTCAAGCGGATTGGCAACTGGAGTTTTTTATTTTTATTAATTATTAGAAAGATGCTGCTGCTCGTCTCCCGATTCATTTCTCTCTGTTGCGTCTTACAACATACATGGTATAATATGGGGTTGTGGATATTGCCATGCCATACACTAAGTTAATATAATTTCACAGGATATTGACATATTTACATGTAGTCAGACGAAGTTCACAATTGCAGCATACAAATGCGTTGAAAATTGTAATTTTTTTAATTAGTTTTTTATTTTATAATCATGTTAATATTATTATTCATTATTCATTATTTTATAGTCATTATTTATAAGGCAGTAGTTTTCTTATATTTAGGTTAGTTATAGCATCGCATCTATAATATAGAAATGAATCGCCGAATGTGTTGCTAAGCACAAATCTCAAGGGCAGCTGAACCGATTTCGCTAATTCTTTTTTTATAATATTCCTTGAAGTACGAAGATGGTTCTTACGGAGAGAAAACGTTTAAAAATTGCCTGAAAATGTCTAAAAACATCACTTTTCTATATTTCCATACAAAAATTTTTATAATAATACTTAAAAGTCAATTTGAACTCTAATACCATACCATAAAGTTTAAGTATTAGTGGAGGGGTTCAGGAAAGACAAAACAATTGAGTGATGTTAGTACCCTATAAATATTAAAATCAGGCGAAGTCACGGGGAATAGCTAGGTGGTTAATATAACTGTAATGATGTTATAATTATGTATTAAATAAATAAATAAATATTCTTACACAACCATTACATGGTACACACTCAGCATGGCTAGCATGGACTGGGGACAAAAATTTTATCCCCCGATTATATCCCCTGACAAGAAAAATTATCTTGTCCCTATACCAAAGCACGGCAATGGGGAGAAGTATATCCCCGTTTGACATAACGAGTTGACATGTATCCCCCATCCGTTGCATAGAGTCAAATTAAAGATAAAAAATTATATTTATTTGAAAGGGACAATTCTATTCTAGTTCATTGGACGTTTTTACTCATACAAAAAATCTATCTAAGTCTATCTCCCATTTTATATATTATATCCACCGGTGTGCCCATGCTCGAAGGGTGGCTAAAACTAAGCGAGGAGATACACATTTTCTCCTTTCCCCAGGGATAAAATTGTCTCTTGCCCATGTTAGCCCTGCTGTCTATGGCTGTACAATTAACCTTAGATTGACATGATAAACTTTATTTGCAAGACTCATAAAACTTACTGCTCCTTTAGAAGATGTCTGTGATGGAAGGCCCAGTCGCTGCCTTGTTCGCTTGTTGGTCTGTCTGCACATTTCAAAGAACTCATAGAAGTCATTCACTTTATCAACACACAACTCGCAGATGAGGGGTGGCATTTTATCACCCTGGTTTACCTGAAAGAATAGTTAGATATTTCCCATCACCATTACAGCCTATAAAAGTCCACAGCTGAACATAGACCTCCCTCACAGATTGCCTCATGAGGGGATTTTGCCATAATTGTAATGTTACTGTTGATTTAATAATTTCGCCTCTCACTGGGTCATGTGCTCCTGGTAAATTATCTTCTATACATCCATCCATTACAACCTATAAAAGTCCACAGCTGAACATAGACCTTCCTCACAGATTGCCTCATGAGGGGATTTTGCCATAGTTACCAATTGCAATGTTGGATTGGCAAGTGGAAGTGGCAACAGCAGTTTTTTATTATTTTGTGTTATCAGAAAGATGCTGCTGCCTATCCCCTATTTCAGTTTCCATCTGTTGCCTCTTACAAAACCCGCAGTACAATATGAGGTAGTGGATATCCTTACACTGCCACTACATGGTTTAGATAGATGCTAAAAATAATTTTATTATTTAAACAGATAAAAAGTTACTGCCAAATACACATTCTACTCCTGGGCAAAGGCCTCCACTCATTTCTAAAAGATGTCCCAATTCGTGATACTCACTTCTCATGTTTTTGACACTGGCAGAATTCTAAGAGACGCCATAATTTAAAAGAAGAAGAAGAAGACTTCTCATGTTACATTCTCATTTAGAAGTTTGTAATTAGTCTGTTCTTAAGTTTTAATAACTGTTTGGTAATTTAACCTAATTGGAAGCAAATTCAGCTTGAAAAATAAATGTGACTGATGAAATTTTGCATTTTTAGGTGCATTACATAATATGAAAAACGCATAAAGTGTAATTACATTTTTCTAAAGTTTTAGTTGAAACTTAGTTTGTGAAACAAAAACAATTTGTGTAGACTATAAATATTCTATAAACGAAATTTATTGTGGAAGGCTTCTATAAATACAATAATAGTTTTTCGGACTTCTTTGATAAATATGTTTTAGTTTACCTCGATTTGCACACATTCCCGAATTTTCTGCCTCAATTCCACATCGCGTCCATCCAAATCTACAATATTTTGAATTATTGGCATTTTGTAGCCGGCACCGGCACCACAAAGGCGACATGCTCGATAAATTTCATATATCGTCTGCTGCTCAATATTAGAATTCATAAAACGATCCATTTCTTCTAGAGCATTTCTTAGGAAAACAAAAACGCGTTCTTAGGTGACGAAAGCCTCTTGCCGCTTTTCCGCCATTAAAGTCATAGATAATATTGTTGTTGTTTTTATTATTCGCTCGAGAGAGCAGGCAAAGGAACTATGCCATACAGCCTTGTCTTTATGTATAATTATCCTTCATAGTACACTGCTTCACAATATGTTGATGCGTCACATTGTGCAGTCCTTGAGAGATTTTGACGGCAACTTGAGCCAGCAGGCAGCTGACAGTTGGCGATGGTATCTAAAGGCGCCTATGCAAACAAACAGCTTATCTTGAGAATCCATCACCATCAGAGCACTTGTTTCACCGTCTCCACTAATAGTTCACATGTGTAGACAGTTAATACATAAAATCGCATCACTTTTACATATTAAAATCCACTTCAAACTATTATTTAAACTATAATACAGGAGCAGCAAACCGCCGCCGATCAAGTTCCCACCAAAACTCATAGATAATAGATTTGATTGGATATGATATTGATAGAGTCATAGTATGGAGTGTAGAGTAGAAGGAGGACCATCTCTGTATATGAAAAGTGTCCCTAAAAACGCGTCCAATAAGGGTGGCGCTGCAGTAGCATAGGGTAAATTTAAAAAAAGCGCCAAAATTTATTAGAATAAGATGGAGAAATAAACAAGGACCGACCAATCCGCTTGGTTTTGTACTACGTAAATAGTTGAGGTTTTGTATACTGGCATTTTACTAACTACTCTAGTCATGAAATTTTTTAAATATTTTAATTCAGCTGACTTCACTCCGTCTACAACAGCTATATTCTATATTTATATTATCTATATTCATATCGTAGTTTTTCAGACGCCAGCGCTATTGTGGTAGGTTTTGGAACCTCTATTTTCAGTATATATTGGGACACTTTTTCAACTTTCGAATCTTATGGCTCCAGTACACGTTGGCCGAGCGCGCTCGCCGAGTGCACTCGGCCAACGTGTACTGGGCCGTTTTGTATATATTTGGCGTTTGCGGCCAACGCTCGCCGACGAGCCGTATAGTGTCGGTTTTCCGTGCACAAATCAAAGGAATTTGGCGCAAGCCGCAAACAGTGTTCACACGTTGGCCGAGTGTTCAGTTCATAGTTACGCGTCGAAGTAGACTGTAGTGTCGGCTTAATAAAATTGTTTCAACATGGCGACATGGACTAATGAGGAAATATTTATTTAACAGTTTATGTACACACATAATTCTATAGGAAAATGCTAAAAACATAATTATGTACAAAGGCACTGCCTATTCCATGATGAAATTTCTTCCAGCAGGCCTATTGAAGGATAGTTGAAGGAAAAAGAGGTAGTCATATATAACTAAATATTATATATTATGAAAAAATATATATTTCAATATAATATATTTTTAATGTTACTTATATGCATAACAACACATTACGATTTAATAATTATGGAGTGAAATATTGATTCATTGTTCATTGATTGATCCTCACAATGAATCAGTTATATGGAACCCCAAACATGAGCAACATAAAAATAAAACCAGAGTAACTTGCCTAACTTCATTAAATAATACATGTTTAGTTGCGATTTCAGAGTACCTACCTAATGATAAATATTATTATAAATTATCTCTGCGTTTATGTTGCTCAGGGATAATGTAGCTTAGGGGCTTCTTTTGGGCTATCTTTTATTTTGAAAAAACCCCCAGCGAAGCGGGCACGGGTCAGCTAGGTCGGAACCCTAAAAAGGACAAACTGGGATTATTGTTGTATGTGTAGTTTTGTTTTCGTTCACTCTGAGAAGTGTGAAGCGCTGTATAAGTATATGACAGTGGCCGCGATTGCCCTAACGTCCATCAACATCTAGCTACCAACGCAGAATGAAACACGCCAACGTGTGAACGGCACCACGAAAATCTGCCGAGCGCACTCGCCAAGCGCGCTCGGCCAACGTGTACTGGAGCCATTATAAGATGGTTCTCCTTCTACTCTACACTCCATAAGTCGTAGACAGAGAATCCAATTGGATTCAGGGTTGCCAACTTAATTTTTTAGGAGATCGTACCATAAACAGGAAAAATCGTATTTTGCTAAGAACTCAAAATAAAAAATAGTACGCGTAATAGTATTTCAATAAAACAATGAAATAAAATTCAAAAATAATATTATTATAACGTCAAAGCAACATTTAACATTTAGGGTATAACATTTAAAAATCTGACACTAAACTTTAAGACGACTTTTTTTACTAATGAAAAGGAGCTTGGACTGTGTACACTGCTCTCTATTACAAAACTAGGGTTAATTTTACTTTTTCGTTAAACATAAACTCACACTCAACATTGAAAAATATACTTATATCTACTACTATTAAGCCCTGAGATAATTTTACATTATAAAATAATCAACGAAGTTAAACAATAATCATATAAATCAATACAAACATAGCTCTTAGAGTATATATGATCTATACCAGATACTTGAGCGGTAGTAAAACTACACGCCATTAAAAAAGTAACAGAGTGCCAGCCATGAACGTACTATACAAAAACGTCCATGACACCAAATCACAGTAGCTTGAATCAGTTATCTACACCTTAGACTTGTGTTAATTTACAATATCTCTATATTATATAAAATTTCAGTGAGCGTGTATTCGTAATTATTCTCCGCTTGACCGATTTTGATGAAATTTTTACGGGATATCATGGATAGTTCTTAGCCATAATTGGACCCGGTAGAGGGCACTGTTGTCGAGATTCAATAAATAACTTCCGTGTGAAGCCAGGTCGGATTGATAGTCTACTTTTTTTAACTTTGCGCCGTCTTTACTATTATTGGTTCATGTTTCCAACGGAATAACTCAGCTTAAAGAATGGGGAACACAAAAGGGTCAAAATATTACTACCGAATACTATTAAAATCGTAGCGAAGATTATGTACATTAGATTAGTTTTTATTTCACTTCCATACATGCAGTATTTCCGAAGTTATAACGACGAGAAGTTTAAGCCCTTTTTGAATTTCAGAGATAACGAGCGCTCCCACTATGACGTCACACTCCCGCAGACCGCGACCGCCACACAAACGCGGCGCTTGAACAAATTACGCGGGTTCGTTTCATTTTTTTTCGATCGTCTTTGTATTCCTACTACTTATAGTGTTTGTGCTTGTATTTCAAAGAAATAATATTATCCTCTAAATCCGATTACACTAAAGTGAAACGTGTAGTGCTAGAATGGAAGGTTTTGTAAAAGGACAGTCGGACAATCTGCCAAGAGGGGATAGTTTGACGGTGGCACTATATTACATGGAGAATCAGGATTTAACGTCTAGTGAAATTCGTGGAATAAAGATGAAAAGGTACGTACCTATGCTCTAAGTAAGCATTAGGTACCTACTCTCCTCGGTAAGCATTAGGTTTAAGTTTTAACAAATACCTACGTAGGTATTTGTACAAACTTAAACCTAACTAACTAACATGGGTGGCGATAAAAAATACTAGGTACCTACTCGTAATCCACATCTCGAGTTTGTCGATGATTATTTTGTGTGTTTTTTTAATTTAAACTTACAGAAAATGTCAATATTTACCCATATACCATATAATAGATGTGGGTAAGTCCTACTACCTAGGTATTTACGTAGTTATCAGTTTTCTAACTAGGCAAATAGGTACTTATTATTCTACTGTTATACTAAAACAGCTACTTACCTATTTTTGATTAATTTTATCGAATGCTCGCTTTAGTTTATTCATTTACAGTGGATCGCAAATTTTTACTTACCATTTTTATTGGTTATTTATTAACGCCCGACGCAAAAAGAGGGGTGTTGTAAGTTTGACCGCTATGTATGTCTGTAGTACTATAGCTCATAAATGGATGAACCGTGTTGTTTTTTTTTTATTTTTTATTTATTGTTGTTTTTAACAGTGGTTGATAGACATGTTTTATCTAAATCGGTTAAACCGTTCTAATAGTACATTAAAAACGTACGTTTCGAAGACCTAAATATAAACCGTGCTTAATGTATGTACGTTGCTATCGTTAAAAAAATACAACGAAAACTAAGAATAAATGCGGGCTGCGAGTTTGGTACTTCTGACATCGGGCCGCGAGTTTGATATTGTAGTAGGAAGAAAATATATTATATTTATGTATATTTTTTATATTTAGCCATATGTGTATTTTGTGGCCCGCCAATACAGTCGGTTGAGGAGCACTGCACTGCGCTGCTACTAGGTGCTAGGTAGTTGGCAACTTTGGCAAGATACCTATCTATCTAAACAATCAAAGTATACAAGTAGGTATGTTTAGTAGGGCAAGGATAGTTAGAGAAGAAGGATCAGCTTATTACTTACAAAAAATACTTATATCGAAATGGTCTTCACAGCAGTGCGCTTTAGTTTTAGGGCCTATTGAATAGACTCCCTCATTTTTGGGTCCTCAGGCACATAAAAAAAGCGTTTATCAGGTGTTTTAACTGTTGAATTGAAGCACTGAGACACATTACAGTGTTTGTTTTCCATTTTTGACACAGAGAACTTTAAAATTCTGATTTTTACTGCGCAGTGGCGTGCATACGAGAGCGCGATTGTTGTATGAGCGGGAGTGTGACGTCATCGGATAGTGAGCGCCCGCATTTTTAAAATCTTCGCTGGGAAACACGCACTTTGATCGTTAATTTCTCAACCAATTTTTAAGATATGAAAAAAGTAAAACAGATTTTCTCGTATTATTTTGTAGATTTACTTGACATGTAAAGTAAAAAACGTTTGTCAGACCCATTGTGGATGTATAGTAAGACACAGACATATTCCGCTTAAAATGGAAATACATACTTTGACTCTCTCATATAAGTATTGGTCGAAAGCTTAATTATTCTTCAAAATATAGAAGTGTCAAACTTAAACTAAGCCGCACTTATAACATGGTACTCTTACTCTTTATCAGAAGATTCATCATTCTTCTTTCTCATAGAAGTTCACCA